GAGTGCATGCATTAGAGTAAAAAGAGAAAGCTAAAAATCATGGATAAATGGTTAACATGTCTGGCCTGTGCTGCTGAGACAGTCTGTCAGTCTACATGTTGGACAAATGGTAAATGGTCTGCAATTGTATAGTACCTTTCTACCTTATCAACCGAACTGCTAACCTCGCAATCAGTGTGCAACCCGCTCTACAACCTGAGCCACAGTCGCCCTGAGAAATTGTGTAGAACAACTCAATTCAATCCAATTTTATTTATATAGCGCCAATTCACAATATATGTCATCTCAAAGCACTTCACATAGTAAAGTGAAGACCTTCCCAATTTTAAACAAAGAACAGAGAACCCAACAGTGCAAAATTGGATTGGACTTCCTGTGAGCAAAACAGTATACGACGGTGGGAGGCAACACCGTAATCAAGCCGAATCTTAAAAGTAGGGAGGGTTTCTGCCTCCCAGATTCAAATTGGGAGCCGATTCCGCAACAGAGGAGCCTGGTAACTTAAGGATCTGCCTCCCATTCTACTCTATGAAGCCAGTCAATTTAGAGAAACACCACCTTCGACAGTAATTCACTTCTTACCGGGGTACATCTCCATGGTATCTTATGCTGAACACCTAACCTCGTCCAGAGCAGATTATGTTCCAGATAACACATCAACACATATAAAAGCTCTGCATACTGACCGATCAATTCTCTTGGTACACAGATAATAAGAGAGAAAGACAGGAATTTTTAGAGCTGCAAGCCCTTCCATTGTTCTATATGCCTTTGTAAAGCAAGAAACTGATTAAAACACTAAAGCCATGCACTTCTTGATCCTATACGATTTACACTTAGTCTGCTTATCGATTTGAATAATTTTTATATTTATTCTATACTTGTTCTCAAACCCATTTGACACCACAAAGCAACTGAAAAAAAATAAGACTCTTTGGCTACATGCCAGAAGAAAACATCTAAGCAACAAATTCATTAAATTATATACACAACTGTAGATATAGTCAGATCGACTATCAAATTATTTGGCAGTGTTATTGATATGCCTGCTAACATTCACACAATCTGCCATTAGAAAAGTTCTAATTTGCACATCGTTTGAAAAATATGTCATTCTAGTGCCAATAGATCAGCCCGTTTAAGATTGGCCATCTGTTGCCAACTCCACCTCTTCCATCCGAACATGCTCATAGCCAGGTTCAGAAACCCTGGTTGACTTACCAAGTTGGCAACGAGCTTCGTAAGACCACTTATACTCACTGCAGTTGTTAGGTTAAGTGAAACCAGATAATGAAAACACATCCTGGCTGCATTGGTAAGGATGATGTATTCTTCCAACTAAGTTCAAATGAAGACTCAGAGAAAAATCGGAGTAATTTTTAATAATGACACGACAGGTCAGTGGAATCTGCTTCAGGTCAGTTCACCAGTGTCAGTATAACAGCAAACATAAGTAGATATCAACATCGTATTAGACATTAGACATGATAACCAGCGGAGAAGATAGTAACCAGAAGACAAAATAATATATATTTGGCACAAGATTAGCAGAGAATATTGAAGTGTAAGTACCTATATCAGGGTTACAGAGACGTAAAGCACTTCCTAGAAGCTAGAACAGGTGACAAGTAGGGTAAGAGGGGTTAGAGAATATTATCATCATTATTATTGTTGTTGTTTTATTGTGATTTAAGTGATAGCGGGGGGTGCCAATAATCTTGGACAATCTGTTGTCCATGCACCACAGTGTTTTTGTGTTTGTGTGGCTGTCTGAGGATAGAGTGGTAGCTCTTATAAATGGCTGTGCAGAACTGAAGGCTGAGGCTTCGTTTTACTTAGAATTTTTTGAGCTGTCTTAAGAAAAATCGTCTCTGCTGGTATTTTTTGGTCATATAGGGTTTGCTCAGTTTGAATAGCTAATATAGGTTGGTGGTGGTTATAGATTCGGCGGAAATTGTATACAGGAGATTTGGACAGGGGACTGTGCCTGAAATGTGCAATAAACTCTTGTGTTTTTGATGTAGGTTGTCAACAAGGCACCAAGTGAAAGCTTGGGCTACCTGCTTACGGTGCTGCTGTTGTTGGTATTAGTTAGTCCAGTTATGTTCATGTTGTCTGCATATTTAAGACAGTAGAGACTGAGAAGTGGTGTGATGTCAGTTGGTTTGTGAAAAGAAAGAAAGACAGGGGGAGATTATACAGTCCTGGGGGGGCTCCGGTACTGAGGGTCAGAGGGTGAGAAAGGCCATTCATCATGATCCTATGGCGTCTTCTCTAGAAGAATCGTGTAGCACATGCAGGTTTCGGGATTTATTTGCAACAGCTTATTGAAGAGAATCAACTTGATTTAGTCCAGACCACTAAGTCACAGTCTAGTCTCTGTCAAGACTATGACCACATACTGCTTCACAGTGATAGCTGGCAAAGATTTTTGCCTCTGCACACTATTTTAAAGAAGCACCTGTGCCCTCAGCCTGGACAGTTTGACGCTGCATGTCTAGCATGTACTGCAGGTTCT